AAGTACGTAAATTTCCACGGTCAAGGTCAAAAGGTCAAAGTTGTTGGTATTCATTGAAAGGTCTTGTCACAAAGAATAAATAAATTAATTCATTCTTATTTCTCCTTTCCATAATTTAAGGAGTTAAAATTTAGGGACTAAGTAGGTTCCTGCTGATTAAGTTTTGCCAATCAACAGTACACTGAGAAAAATAAGTAAAATGTTTAATGGATTAGGTCATTGCATTGACATCCTTATAGGAGTGAAACAGTTTAATTGTTTTCTTCGATCAAAATGTACGTATCATATCTGAAATAATTAATCTGCACTGACACAAAATTAAATGAAATGTTTGATATCACAAAGGAGTCATATCATTTCACCCCCTAGATCCCTAAATTTTAATAGAGAGAACCATACATCGTTTGCAGTAACCTGAGTATCTTTAGTTTTTAAGGTATAACTATTTGTCTATCTCAGACCATTGGAGACTGAAAACTCTTTTCCCAATAGTACCACGTGGATTTTATAGGACGTTTGTTTATATCCCATTAAAAAAATACATTAACAGTATACCTGTATATCAGTACTTACTGTTGTTCCTGGGTCACAGCGACTAATGGCAATGAACCACCATCGTTCCCTTGACGACCTGAATGTACGACCTCCAGTACATTTGACCTTGGTAACCCCATTCTCTGTGACCTCTTTGCACCCAGACCAGGTATAGAGAGTTGAGAGTGCTATAATTTGGTTATTGGCAGGATTTAGCACTGCTAAGTCCTAGTACCTACCATTCAAAAGTTATGGCCAAAGTAAAAGTTTGGAATTTTTTAGTAAAAGTAGTTGAAACTCCAAGGTCAAGGTCAAAAGGTCAAATTTGGTGGTACCCAAAGAAAGGTCTTATCACAAGGAATACACATATGAAATATGAAAATTATAGCTCCACTAAATCAAAAGTTATGGGCAAGGTTAAAGTTTTTGTGACGGACGGACAGACTGACGGACCGACGGACAGACAGACGAATGAGATTTAATGTCCCCTCGCTTTCGCGAAAGCGGGGGACAATTAAAAGCTACTTGAAAGGGATTTTTTTTATCTAACTGATTGACTACGCTTTCGGCATATGCTTTAGTGCTCGTTTAAGGGATTTTCTCCAAATTTCACACGAAATTAACTTATAATCTGCCTAAAAAAATATACCTGATAGATGTTGATTGTGAATTCAGAGACAACTGAAGCGTGAATAACGTTCATCTCTGTACACTTGAATTATCAAAATACGTGCTTTAAAAAAATCCATTTCACTGTGAATCTTATTAATTTCTAGTTTATTGTAATCGTCTTATACCCCTTTTTAAAATTAAAAACTAACATTATACCATTATTCGGTAAAATAAAAATATACAAGGTACGAAACAAAATGCATAAACAAATGGAAATGGGTACTGCCACTACGAGCCAGAAGACAACTTGTTGCCTGTAATATTTTTTCCCAAAATGAACGGAAAATCTTGTCTAGTCTCTCTACTCCAGATACTGTACATGATTATGTATATTGGTTACGGTGTTTAACATGGTTACAAAATATAAGAATGTTGGGTAAATGCTTTCAAAACACTACTCTTCCTACAGATTTGGACTGATTACGATATTTGGTACAGGAGTAAATTTCACTAAGATACAGCTACATAATTTTTAGCTCTACTGGTCAGAGACCAGAAGAGCTTATGCGATAGAAAGGTGTCCGTCGTCCGTCCGTCTGTCTGTAAACAATTTTTCAAAACGCTACTCCTCCTAAAGTTTTTGTCTGATTTCAATATAAATTGGCACACAAGTAGACTACACTAAGATACATAAAATAGTGAAAATCTGTGAAATTCCTGTAAAACGCTACACCTTCTACAGTTTTGGTCTGATTTCAATATTACTTGGCACACAAGTAGACTACACTAAGATACATAAAATAATGCATCGGTTTTTGACTAAGATGAACGGTGTTTCCATTGCAGTTGTTCCTAAAAATAGAATTTTCTGTGAAATTCCTTTAAAACGCTACGCCTTCTACAGTTTTGGTCTGATTTCAATATTACTTGGCTACAAGTAGACTACTCTAAGATACGTAAAATAGTGCATCGAATTTTGCTTCGATGAAGATTATTGCCATGGTTACTAAAAATAGAATTTTCTATGAAATTCCTTTAAAACGGTACCCCTTCTACAGTTTTGGTCTGATTTCAATATAACTTGGCACACAAGTAGACTACAGTAAGATACGTAAATTAGTGCATCGGGTTTTGATTTCGATGAACGGTGTTGCCATGGTTACTAAAAATAGAATTTCCTGTGAAATTCCTTTAAAACGCTACTCCTTCTACAATTATGATCTGATTTCAGTATTACTTGGCACACAAGCAGACTACACTAAGATGCATAACTTAGTGCATCGGATTTGATTTCGTTAAATGACGTTGTTAGGGTCACTAAGGCTATAATTTTTTTGTGAAATTCCTTTTAAACGGTACTCTTCCTACAGTTTTGGTCTGATTTCAATGTAACTTGGCACGCAAGTAGACTTCACCAAGATACATAATTTGGTGCATCGGTTTTTGATTTCGATATGGTGTTGCCATGGTTACTAAAAATAGAATTTTCTGTGAACTGCTTTCAAAATGTTACTTCTCCTACAGTTTTGGTCTTGTTTCAATTTAATTTGGCACACAAGTTGCCCCGAAAAGAGACTTAATCAAGGATCATTATTATATTATTGCTGTTGTAATGTTTCAAGTCCAAATGGCTACTTTTCTCGTCCTTTGTTATAAGTACAAACCAGTAGAGCCACAGACTCGACAGAGACTTCTGATTTTCTTAAAGGATTATTCCTATTACACGTTTGCAATAACAATAAATTAATTGTAATAAATCTTGCTGCAAAGAACAATAAACAAAGAATTTTTTTTTCTATTTCTTGTTTTTGCAAAGTTTCAAGCGAAAGAGCTAGATTTTCTCCCTTTCTTTTTAGCACAAACAAGTAGAGCCACAGTCTCATCAAAGACTTTTGGTTTGGGATCTATTACTAATCTTTGTCTTTTTATCTTTTTCATTTCACCTCTTCATCAAGTTGTCGCTGGAATATTACTTCATAAATAAGAAAGGTCGAAGAAGTCATCCTGTGCGGGATACACATTATTATTACTTTCCCATTATAGTCTAAGGTCAGAACAACAAATAATGAAACAGATGTAACAGGCTCTGTCTGTCTTTAACATTGTATTTTGAGTTCACTTGTACATGTGTATGTCGAGTTGACATATGAATGGATAACTATTAATAATTCATATTTTCAATGCTAAGTTGAGGGCACAACAAAGGCATGCTTGGAAATATCGAGTCACATGTAATGCACACGTCAAATATGAACATTTTTGAAAATTATGTCAAACTTCAAAAACCTTTTGCTTGCAAAAAAAAGCTCCGTGCTTGTAAGAAATAATTTTATTTCGAGAGAATATGTGGTAAAATTCATGCGTGTACATCTTGTACCAATCAACGATTTATTGGTTGTTATATATCTTCACACGTTTCAAGTGAATGTATTTTGCTGATAAATGTCTGGTGTTTTTGTGGAAGTTCCACTAAAGTTTCAGTCGCCATAAGCTGCATTTGATGAATTGTCATAATAAAGACTACAACTGATTGCATATATGTAATGTTCACTATATTCCATGTTCTATATTTGTAAATTTTATTTATTTTGGTATAATATCAATTTAAAATCAAGCGATAACTACAAACCCGTTTGGGGTTTTTTTTCTTCTTTTTCACAATGAAATACCTATTAGAAAGAAAGATTTAACATATGCTGCATAATCACACAAGAACAGACCTAAGTTTCAAATTGATATATTTGCTCTTTACATATTTGATTAAAAAGTATGTTAAAAAGTTGCTAACTTGCACAACATTCAAATACAAAGACAAGAAGGGAAATTTGTTGTAATTTTGACCGGACAACAGGGGATGCTTACCTCATCATGATACCTGATCCCACCTCTGACATTTCCGGTGTCTGTGTTTGATGCCCTGTTCTTTGTAGATATATCTTTTCTCTTCAAATTTTCATTCAAGAGTTATTATAAAATTCTTTTATTCTGTGGTACATATGTCTAAAGTTTTCGTCTCCAGACCTTCCCTGTAATTTTATCTTTCAAAGCGTCATGTAGATACCATTATATGATGATTTACCATTATATATATATTATGCAGATGTCATGCGAAATGGGTCAAGCAAAGACTGGCGCAAACAAATCTCTCAATCCATCTTCGGATTCAGCATTGCCACAAAAAATAGACATCGTGGGTTGAAACAATTCCCATATACTAATTGATAGGGATTATTTACTCTGGAATGTGGCTCTTGATGTACGATTTTCAGTTCCGCATGAGACAATTGGCATTATATTATCTATTTAACCCAGCTTTTTTGCATATCAGATTGTTTTAAACACATGTATGACGTAAGATGTTGTATAATACACTATACTTAAAGTCTTTAAATTTACAAACAACCACAAGTAACAATAGTTTTCTCAGATTAACCACACCAATTAACGACGCGTGTGGCATTCAATGCTCGTATAAACCGTAGTCAAGCATGCACAGTTGACTGAAAAATACATACATGTAATATAAAAAAACCTTTATTATGTTTGGGAATTACCGCGTTTTTATACGAAATTTAGATATGGATGACTTTTAAATTTATGAATAAAATGATTTGGAAATTACTTTGCAAGGTTGTCTAACATGTCTAATATATACAAATTATAAGGAAATGAAAGCGTGGGAAAAGAAAACTAATCACCTCTGTGATACGAAAAATAAAATTTTCTTTTGATTGCACAATTTTAGACCAAATTTTAGGTATACATGTATGGCGCCAAAAAGCATCCCTATCTTTGTCAATAAATATACACATTTATTAAAAAAAAAATGAAGAAATAAACACTCAAGTTGAAGATAAAAATTGAATTTAATCCAAATTCTTGGCGCAACAAAATCAATTTGAAATCTTAGCGACACGTAAAGTTACATACAAAAACAGATCTGATTCAGTTCTGTTAAAAGCATAAAACATGCATTCATGATAATGATATGGTGATTTATTGGAGAAAAAAGCAAGAAAGTCAATAAATAACTTTAAATTGGAATGTTTTATCACATACTCATACGTTACTGCTTCATTAAGCTAGGGCCAGTTCCTTTCAAATAATCGAAAGGATTGAATTCACATTTCAGCCTCTAATCATAAAATGACTTCCGCAAACTAACCACGGTCCCCTTTGTTGAAATGTCAGTGCCACTTCTGCGTCCCCGAGCATCGGAATTTCTCACTCTGCACTCAGTCAATGACTGAAAAAGTCTGCACACTTCGTTCCGGAAGTAATTTGCCGTTATATAATAGAGGAAAACGTTACAGGAGTATTGCGAAAGTCCGATTTCATCAATTATCTTTTTCGCTGTGAAATAGTCAAAAAAGGATCTCCAGGTTGAGTCTGATCCTATTTCTCTCACGGATAAAGTCTGATCTCCGGGCGGAATTCTGTACTGTAAAGCGAATATTATAGCCACTGGAATAACGGTGAAAATTCTATAGAATGAGACACATAGCAGTGTTACCGTGGAAATGCGTAAACGAGCTCGATTGTTGTCTTTCGACTTCGTTTTTAAAAGTTTGCTACTATATCCATTCATTTCGTAGGACGGGGCAGTGTCCCTTCTAAGTTTTATTGAACGAGACACCGCGTTTATCACAAGGATATTCAACACCAAGGAGACAACTGGGAACACGCAAAACACTAGAATATCACTAACCCAAATCCAGGTTTCGAAAAAGTCAGATCCTGTACCCTGACATTCGCCATCTGACAGTACGGCCCATCCAAATATCTGAGGTACTGCCAGTAGGATGGAAACAAAAATTATCACAACGATTTCTAATGCACCGCGGTTTCTCCTAGAAAACCGCTCACCTTTGAATGGAATGGCAATAGAAATGAACCGTTCGAGAGTGAATCCCATGATAAGAAGCGGGCTCATGTATTGAGCAAACATATAGAAGACGAAGAAGACAGGACACCATGTAGGTTTGTTAAGGGTACTTACGCCCCATGTAAATTGAAGTTCCATGACGGAATGCAGACATAACAACAAAAGGTCAGATAAAGCCAGAACTGTCAGATACAATGCCGATGTATTAGTCTTTCTGATCCGTCTGCTCCAAATCTTGATTGTCAGCGTATTCCCAAAGAGCCCGATGAAATAAAGAACAGGACTGATATATTTGTCCACAAACAAAGCAGTTGGTGCATATAGCTCAAAGACACAAGTGTACCACGAAATTACGCCAGAATGAGGACATAAATCCTCCATTACTGTTGTTGTGTCATTAATAGAATCGTTCATTTTGGTTGTGGCGAAGCAAAATCCTTTAATTTTATTATTGTATTCTTTTTTCTGCTACATCGATGACATGATTATCCTCTCAATAAAAACTTCCATAATTTGTTGGGCTTTTTCGTTCATTTTTCTGTTATTGGAATGTTTGCTATTCGGATTAGACAGAAATCTTCAAAACTTGGTTCACATGATGAAGAAATAAAAGGAAACGTTGTTGACTTTAATAAACTGATCTAGGAAAGGTTCTTGTTTTCAATTTGAATCACAATCAGAAAAAGTACATATGCCCTGCAAAGAAAAATATAGGTCCATAAGTACATGTTTGTTTATATTGAGTTCGTGTGCATTTATACAAATAACGGAACCACTGTGTTGACATCGGAAAGGTTGATATCCGTTTTATTCCTCATTTCTTTATGTTTGTATTTTATACATTTTGTGTATATAAAGTAAAATTGTTTTCTACTTTTAGAAAAGATCATAATGCCGATTGCTGTAGTTAATTCAATAATGACGTTTTGTGATGGAGTAGTACCTTTGATCAGGGGTGCTTAACATTTTTGTTGAATTTTATGCTAAAAGCTGAATAATTACTTCACAGATCGCTTATCAAATATAAAGGATACTCAGAAGTCAACATTTGATAATTCATTTTAAATTGAATATAAGAAAATGTTGCCATTTGACATCGTAAAATATTTATTCTCTGTGGGAACAGAAAATAAATTACACAAAATAAGACAAATATACGATCACACAGACCTTTTTCTAATGTAGATGGGGGATGAAAACTAAATTCAAACCAAGATGAAATCAAATGAATTTAAAAATAAATTTCGCATACATGTATTTAGATTTTTCGAAAGTATAAATTTCCTTCATTATTAAAAAAAATATGTTCACCCTTTTTGTATTTAAAAAAATTGTTGTAAATTTATCAACGTTAGCCTAAATGGTGTCTGTTTAAAAAAAATTTAAATTATTAACACATAAATATTTTTTATAGATTTACTAGTAATACAAACAACGAAGACTCCAACAAATTTACTGACAAATTTGTCCAGACAAACGTAAAAAAAAAAACAAGTTTAACATTTAAAAAAAAAAAAATATTACTAATTTCTTTTGAATATACAAGACTCTTATTTCGTTCATCAAAGAAAGCACAGTAAAATATAAATCTCTTTGAATATAATTGAAATACTATTTAATTTATGCAATTTAAAATTTTATTCAAGTTAGCAGCTTGTTTGAGAAATAATTTTTGTATTGAAAGAAATCGAAAAAAAATAAATAAAAAAATAAAAAATATATATTACCTGGGCACACTGTTTGAATTACATCCCATTCATTGCACAGCCGAGTTTGACCTTATGTAGCTATTATCACTAAATTAGCCTGGATTGTGATAAATGACAAACGGTTTGCTCCTACTCCCTGAGCTACGCGCTCAGTCACTGAAGCAAGACTTCGTATACACTGAGGCGATCCACTGCTTGAAGCCGTATTTATGTCTATTACAACGATTCATTTTTCACACTATGATGCGCGTTCTGTGGTTCAGGGCGAAAATGATAATAACATATTATCATATTATCACTACAAGCGTACAACTGATGTCAAACATCTTACTTGAAGTGGAATGTTTTCATTGAATCCGTTTGAATGAAATATTCAGAGAATGATCTGAAAGGAGGCTTTTAGTATTTTTTCAAAAAGATTTTAATGCAGATTAGGTACAGATTAGGGACTCCTCACCGTCTTATGGGATTTAATGAATGCGAATACGATAAATCAACCCTGATTCTATTTTTAAAATATCCTGTTATATCATTACTGGTAAATATATTCGTGTACATTTACTTTAAACGATGAAATACGCGTCTCTTGATCTTTTCCATTGCATGTTCATATCTTTAACATGGTTAATGTGTCATAAAGATTAATTCTTTTGGTAACTAATGACCACATTTATATGGATACATGTATGTTTCTCTTACTGAATATAAAATATAATTAATTGTGCTTTATAATTTGCATTACAAATATGTAAAGAAGATGGAGGAACAAGGCGTGCAGAATGCATATACGTGTAGCTTTAGATATTACATGTAAGAAATCCTATCCATTTTGTGAATTTAGTAATTAGAGAAATAAAAATTTTCCGAGAAAAAAAAGTCTCGGAAAAAAGTATTCTTTTATGAAAATGATAGTATTCGTGGGATTCGAACGCTAGCAATAACAAGCTAATTCAGAGAATTCGTGTCCCCCGCTCAGGGAAAAAGTCGGATCCCCCTGACTGAATTTGTAGAATTATTAAATGTATACATGTTTACTGAAGCAAATAAAATACATGTATGTCAATATGCATATAAAGATTTGATTGCCTATTCTTTATTATGTGTATAGAAGATTCTTTTTATATGGAATATTTATCACACTGTCACAGATGAAAATGTACCCTTGGACATTTTGACAATTAATTTGGATATTTTTAATTCTAAATTCTTACATCTGTTTTTAATTTAATGAGTTGTCAATGAGTTGATCCAATATGTCAGATTTATCTATTTTGAAATATTTAATTGCTTAATTAGCCATGAGTGATATGACCAAATGGACTGTGCTTTGAGTGACTTAATTATTGTTTATTTTAAATGATAATCTTTAACTCTAGTTGTAAATCAAATTAACTCATGTCATATATTACTCAAACTTGTCAAATATCAACTATGTCTATAAATACAAATATTTGTTAACATTCAGAGAGTTGGAATCGGGACGCGCTTGTCCCTGATACTGTCCGACCCGACGAGAAATAAAGGCTTGCAAATCGTAAAGCGGCTTTGTCTTCATTTACTAAATGATCACCCTAGTGGCTTTACTGACAAGCACGCGCATCTAACGCGAGGGTGTGATAAGTGGTGCAGATAACCGGGTACGACCCCCTCTCACAGCCAAGCGAGTTTTACTACTTGATTCCCCTTACTTCTACGAGAATTCCCCAAATTCAGAAAATCATCTTGAATTTCGTACACGCCGCTATGAATCGCAGCCTTGGACCACAACGGAGACCTGCGGATCACCCCTTTCAGTGTCAATTTCCAGTTTGTGGCCGATGTGGAATTGTCCATGGACCCAGTTGCCGTGCTCAAATGGAAAAGTGTTACAGATGCAAGCGTCATGGTCACTATGCTAGAATGTGCAGGACTGTCCTCTCTTCCCCTGGGAGGATTACCATGATAGCAAATACTAGTGAACCAATCCAAGAGCAACGTTCCGGTAGACGAAAGTCCAGAGACAAAGTTCGCATGGAAAAATACTTAGAAAGCAAATCTCATCTCCGCGAACTGCCTTTTTATAACCTACGGAGTGCAGCATTCCACGAAACTATGAATATTCACCATGGCCTTAAGACGGAACTTTTTCAAATGCACGCAAAGATAAGGGAGATGAAAATTATGTATGCCGACACAGTTAACATCATTATCAACCAAGAAGAAAAGCTTGATCAACTACCGACAAGACAACTGCCCGAATCATCGAATAACAACACTTCTGAGGATAAATTAACTATTTCAATGTTGCAGCAAGAAATTCAGACTCTACGACGTGAAACCTCATCTCACAAACAATTGGTTGATTCAATAAGTGCTAACGTCCGAGAAGAATGGAGAGAAAACAAAGCGAAACTGCAAGAAAGAGACAACACCATTCTGACCCTGAGAACTGAAAATACTCAGCTTTTGAACAATCAGGAATTGTACATACAACGAATACGTGAACTTGAAAATGAGGCCTATAATCGTTCCATCAAAGCCCTAAATTACGGACAAAACCGGCAAAATATTCATTTTGGACATCAAATTTATTCAAGTGAACAAACATCTAGCGTACCGATTCAAAACACGAGGACGTGTTTTACTGGGGCAAGGGGGTATTGTCACAGATGAAAATGTACCCTTGGACATTTTGACAATTAATTTGGATATTTTTAATTCTAAATTCTTACATCTGTTTTTAATTTAATGAGTTGTCAATGAGTTGATCCAATATGTCAGATTTATCTATTTTGAAATATTTAATTGCTTAATTAGCCATGAGTGATATGACCAAATGGACTGTGCTTTGAGTGACTTAATTATTGTTTATTTTAAATGATAATCTTTAACTCTAGTTGTAAATCAAATTAACTCATGTCATATATTACTCAAACTTGTCAAATATCAACTATGTCTATAAATACAAATATTTGTTAACATTCAGAGAGTTGGAATCGGGACGCGCTTGTCCCTGATACTGTCCGACCCGACGAGAAATAAAGGCTTGCAAATCGTAAAGCGGCTTTGTCTTCATTTACTAAATGATCACCCTAGTGGCTTTACTGACAAGCACGCGCATCTAACGCGAGGGTGTGATAACACTGTAATGATGATTTTATAACCTCATAATTTATAACCTCATAATTTTTTCATTTCACATGCTGAATACTATCATTTAGTACAAAAAAAAGAAAGAAAAGTATTTAAAAAAAAAAAAAAGAGGATTGACCGAGATTCGATCCGGGGACCTCTCACACGCGAAGCGAGAGACATACCACTAGACCACGGAATGGCTTTACATGAAGTTAAGTATATGTAGAACTGAAGTCACATACATGTATATAATCATGTTCGGTATTCTCAAAATTTTACACAATCCATGGTGTTTGATTTATTTAGCCTACATTAAACAGTTCTATTAGATGTAATAAGAACATAAAGTCCGCCGAGAACCTGTTTTATACGCAATAACTCTCCTCATGTCCCTGTGCTAAAAATAGCGACATGTAATACTATAAATATTAATAAAACAAACGGGGCGGGGCACTTTGAGAGGGGCGAGAGAGGTCCTAGGGAGTTTTGGTATAAAATTACATTGCATAAGCTCAAAATCTTCTTGAAATATCGCCCGGAAATGATAGTGTTACACACTGAGAGAATATATAAATTTACGACCTTGAACTTTGACCTTTTGACCTCAAAATCAATAGGGGTTTTCATTAGGCCACAGGGAGTTGTTATGTAAAATTTCATTGCAATCGCTCAAATGGTTCTAGAGATATCGTGTGGAAACGAAAGTGTTATAACAGACAGAATTTGCTTATTTATGACCTTGACCTTTAATCTTTTGACCTCAAAATCAATAGGGTTCTTCTTTAGTCCATAGGGAGTTGCTTTACTAAATTTCATAGCAAAAGCTCAAAGGGTTCTCGAGATATCGTATGGAAACGAAAGCGTTACAGACAGACAGAAAGACGGACGGAGGGACGGACAAACCCAAATTAATATCCCCCACTTTTCAAGCGGGGGACAAAAATGCGAAGAATCATATTGTTTTTAGACTAACGCGCTATTTTCCTCTTTTAATTTAGACTAATGCGCCACACTACACAACTCATGATGAATTGTGGCATTTAAGGTACATTGATTCTCTGATAAGAGAGATAACTCTTAATGACACAAATGTCTATTATTCCTTTATAAATTTGTCAAGTTTAAGTGCCATTTTTGTCAAAATTTGCCTCGCAAGCCATGCTATAATTGTTTGTATTTTATTCAGCATATATATTTCCTGTGGAAAATCATAAAAGTTAAAGAAAATTTCATATGAGTGAGAAGAGGGTTTATGAACCTTAAATCATGTTTGTGATATGGCCATTGACTTCATGGACTTGAAGCATTTCTCGGAAAGATGCAAACGATTTGTCATAAAAGTGTACTTTTAAGGTATAGTGGGTCGATCCTTGCTCCATATTTTTGTAAAACAAAAAATGTTTATTTTATTGCAAACTTTTAGGATTATCTTTTTTTAAAAATGGAGAGAATACCCATTAGTACTCATATTGAAAAAAAAATTACTAAAGTATGCAAAATGATATTGTTGTCCTTTTTAGTGTGTGTATGTTTTTAGTACGCAAATTATTTGTCTTTGTGAGATGTTTGTAAATTGTAGAGATTTTAAATAAGTATATTTTAATACTAGACGAAATATCAAATAAAATTTGTATATAATTGAGATTTAATTTTTCACTTCATGTCTGTCGCACTATAGGCACTTCGTCCGCATTAACCCCCCCCCCCCCTTCTTTGATATATTATTAATTGATTTTTTAACATTAAATCCCCGAACAATAATTTCTGATTTTTTTTTTTAAATTTGAAACCACTAGAAAGGGAGTATAAGCCAACTAAAGAAAGACTGAGCTAAAAAAAGACTTAATACCCTGGAGGAACAAATTCATAGAAGGGTAAAACAGAGTAGGTTTAACTAAAAACTACACGATGGAAAATTAAGGCAGTACAAATTCCGGAATATCTATGAAACAACTACAATACTAACTATAAAATAACTATTGGACTTAGTTTGTGCACCCGAGTCTTCCTTAAAAGAAATTCAGAAGACATCGTTTTCAAAACGCAACCACACCAGAAACTAA